ACGAAAGCAGCTACAACTGCTTCATCGAAGTACGTTGAAGAGGAAAAACGGATGCAATGAAATTAGAACATCACTGACAATGTGGCTAATATCATGGAGGCTATTTTGACGCCTAACAATCCCCAAGGAGCAAAATGAACTTAACCGTGATACTCAACTCTGACTCTATTACGAGTTCTTAATTCTGTTCATCGATGTGTTGGAAATATGTCACCAAAACACTGCATTTCTGTGTACCTGATAGCCTCAATTTGTATTCTTCAGCAGTCTGCCAACGGTCATTCCAATTCCAGGCCTACATGGTTCCTTTGGCTAAAATATAGCTTGGCTAGGTGTACAATCTACATCGCACTTGCCGATGTTCCGTTGACGTCTGAAGCTATCCATCCAACCGCGGTCGTCTCTCAGTTCCGTTGACTCAGATTACAGAGACGAAATTTTCCACCGCCCGTTTGAACCCAATAGGGCTGTTTATCTCTAACACCGGGTTGATTGGCAACGTCGAATGAGGCATGCAACTGATTGACGTTCTCTTGTTCCGAAATGTTCACGTGACAGAATCTGCTGTCTCTTCTGGTCACTGTACCAATGACTTGCAGCTCCATTGCCTCATGAGCCGCATCTTCCAGTGACTTCGGCCGATATCGCATGACTTTCATCTGCAGCGGATCCCCTAGTTTCTCGATGAAACTGTCATCTGACATCAGTTTCTCCTTTGAAGACTAGTTCAGAATGAGATAGGCGATTTTGATGAAATTTCGCACGATTCCAACGAACTTTGGCAGTGACTCCCAACTCTGCTTTCTAGCTTAGTTCTTGCCCTTTGGACTGAATCTTCTTCGAGAGAGTATCACAGAGTCTGCAAACACTGCTTCATCCATAATCTTGGCTGTACCACATCGCAGGGCACTTCTAGCCACGCTAAGAGGAAGTGTGCCAGCCACATCTCCTGGTCTTGCTCAGTGCCGTACATTTCAGTCAGTATACCTAGGCGTGTCACACCGACGTTCCTTAGGGCATCCAACAATCGTGCCACACCAGCCATTATAGCACGCTTCTCTGACTCCATTGCATGCACTTTATTCCGTTCGCAAAAATTTTACAAGCAAGTCTTTCCAGCACACTATATCTCGATGTACATTTAAGGCTCAGTTAATAATCTCTAGGAGTCTGCCAACAGCGAATCCAGTTCGAAGCCTGTATAATTCCTTCCTGATCGTAAGTAACAGACTTTAATCAGCGTCGGATGTTGGACGTTTACCCTGACCTTCTTTTCATATAAATAACATCCCATGCGTAGGATCACTATATATTATCAATATTTATAAATTGCTGAGCGTTTACTCGTATATTACGAGGTATTCTTCCTACCTCTGCTTGACTGACAGCGCCGTATTTTCAGTTCGTAATCGTCACGATCCAATCATATCAAGTAACTGTTTGAATTCAGGATACGGTGCCACTACTCTCAGGCCAGGCTGACATTCGATGCCATTACAGAACATTTCTAGAAGGGCAAAACTAGAAAACGTTAAATACTTTTCAAACTGTAATCGATTCTGCATAACGAGCTGCAAGAAAATACGTAATCCTTATAAGTTTACTGGTCATTTGCAACAAAGAGCATTTAGGCGTATTAATAAAGCTTTGCTTTAGATGTACTTTTCGCATCATAAGATTCAATCAATTGTTCGAAAAAATTAAAACTTTATTACTAATTTAATAATTCAGAACAATGTTTCTAACAAATGTAAGCGCTACCTGACTACATTTCCGCTCAGCGAATCAGATTTTACGCTAGCGCAGATTTTTAAAGAATTTTATTGAGCATCACTTTTCTCTTAGGCAAGAGACTTTCCTTTAGGTACAGTACAAACTTCTTACTCATGCGATGCAGATATGCAAGTTTGTTGACGATAACAGTCGAACAAGCGAAAGTTTAGAAATCACGCTGCAGATGAAATGTTATCATTAAGCTAGTATGTGGAGTAAGCACTGTAATATACGTAGCTATTGTGAGCATGCTAAACAGTTTCAATCACTGTAAGCATTTGACTTCTTGGATGCAACAGATTTTGTTGTTGCATCTTCATCTTCCGCAACCGTTTCTCCTTTCGGGTCGCCGAGGGAGACGCGTCAGAGAGTGCTTCCAACGTTTCCGATCCTGAGCCATGGTCTGAGCTTCGGCAGAAGACGTCTAGAGTCTCGAACAGATACCTTCCATATATTTGCACGGGGTTACTCCTGGCCGTCCCCTGTGCCTTCTGCCGGTCGGTTTGGCAACAAACAGACGATTAGCCATC